AAGATATTATAATAAATTTAGAAAAATGATTTAGAAAAAATGGTGGAATAAGTAAAAAAAAAAAAATAGTGACAATTTGATTATTATTTGTTAAAGTAAGAGTAATAAAATATAAATTAATTAATTATATATAAGTTTAACGGACAAAAAAAAAAAGGAAGGGTGATGTAATTTTAGCGGACTAATAAAATATTATATTATATTATTATTTATTAGATATTATTTTTTGTCAAATTTTAAATTAAAATAATTATTGAATTTGAATATAAATAAAATTAAAGTGATGTTTTTAAATGAAAAAAAATATATAATATATTATATAAAAATAAATATATTTTTGACTTTTTTATTAATAAAATGGTTATTGCGAGAAGTAAATTTATCGTGAAACCGAGTCGATGATGAATCTTCTTTCTTTAAATTAGATACGCCTCGGTAGTGCCTCCGGTGACCGACGTTCTAACTAAAAGATAAAACGGTTTCCGTCTCTGATGAGAGGGGCACCTCAAATCGCTTGAGCTCCGGCGAACAAAGCGGGAGGGGAATTAAGCTGGAGATGTTAACGAAAAGTTAGAAGAGATGAGAGAAGGCGGAGAAAATGTTGTTTGTGTTTTTAGAATGAAGGAGGGAGACCCTTCTTATAGGCGTCTCAACTCGGTCAGAATGACAGGGGATCAATTACGATCATAATTATGACCTTAATAACCGGTGTAATTTATCCTAAATTCAAAATTTCCGTTTGAGGCGGTCGTAATTGATTCTAATAACAAACTTTTCGTTTGTGATGATTGTAATTTATTCCAATTTTAAATCTTCCATTTGAAAAGATTGTAATGTATTATAATTTCAAACCTTCTGTTTGAGATTGTAATAAATCCATCCAATGGATAATATTTTATCCAAATAATACTGCGACTTAGGCCATAGACTCGGGTTTAACTTAGGGTAGCACAATTTGGTTTGTCTCTACACAATCAAAATAGCCAAAAATATTAACCAAGCCCTATATACAATAAATAAATAATATTTCTTTCTTTCATCCAAATTAATCTAATTAATTCGGTTCACCGGCCCGTCTTGTTTTCACTCATCAATTAATCGGTTGCATAGATAATCGATTATCCAACAATCTCCCACATTAGTAGAAATGCCCAAAAAGGACATAAGCCCAGCTCAAACCTGTGAGACATTGACACATCAAGACAAGTAGCTTGTGGCTTTTAACCTTCCATAGTCAACATTACAAAGTGTACTGATGGTCCAATTGACATGATGCATTGAACTGTTTCACCTTGTGTGCACTTAGTCACACTTATTTCAAGGTATCCCATTGAACTAAGGCTTGACATTTCCAAGTGATTTAGTTGGGTTACTATTCTAATTGTCTCTATCTTGTGGATTTCAAGCTGATTCCCTTTAGCAGTTTGTACATTTAATCTCTCTGGAACCCTTTAGTTAATGGATCTGCTACGTTTCTATTGACTTTCATATTCAATAGTCAAAACCACACTGGTGATTAAATGCCTTATAGAGTTATGTATACGTCGGATACGTCGTGATTTACCGTTGTAGATTCCATTCTTAGCCCTTCCTATTGCAGCTTGACTATCATAGTGAATCATCACGGGAGGTACTGGTTTTGTTTAGTATAGAATATCATCCATAAAGTTCCTCGGTCATTCGCTTCCTCGTCAGCTTTGTCCAAGGTGATGAATTCCGACTCCATTGTGGACCGTGCAATGCACGTCTGTTTTGTGGATTTCCACGAAACAACTCATCCTCCAATTTTAAATACATATCTACTTATAGACAGTAAGTCTTTTGCATCGGTATCCAGTTGGTGTCACAGTACCCTTCGAGTACTGGTAGTGTATACCAAAATCCAGAGTAAATTTAAGGTAACTTAAGACTCTTACTAGCGCTTTCCGGTGTTCATGACTGGGTTGCTAGTATATCGACTTAGCTTGTTTATAGGGCAAACCAGGTCAAGCCTTGTGTAGTTTGTTAAGTACATTAGACTTTTAATAATTTTGGTGTAATCTTCTTGAGCTACGAGATCTCCCCTATTCTTGCTCAAGTGCACGCTGAGGTCCATTGGGGTTTTCACTGGAGTATTGTCATAGGCATTGAATTTTCTCAGTATCTTTTCCACATAGTGGGACTAATTCAGAACAATACCTTTGTCTTGTCGTAGAATCTTCATTCCAAGGATGATGTCGACTAACCCCAAATTTTTCATGTCGAAGTTACAACCCACCATACATATGACCTCATTGATCAGACAAATTATGATAAGTAAGTCATCTACATATAGACAAATTATGATAAAACTGGAAGGTGGTTTCTTTGAAGTAGACACACTTGTCACACTCGTTTATTTTAAAACCATTTAATAACATGACATTATCAAATCCTAAGTGTCATTGTAAATGTGTCTATTTCAGTCCATACAGAGACTTTGTCAATTTCCACGCGTTTTTTTCTTGGCTAGAAACGACATATCTTTCCTATTGTTCCATATATATATCTCTTCTTCTAATTCACCCTTTAGAAAAGGAGTCTTTACATCTATTTAGTGAATCTCAAGATTGTTCAAAGACGCAATCGAGCGAAACACTCAAATGGATGTTATCTTGGTTACTGGTGAATATGTGTCGAAGAAATCAAACCCTTCGGTTTGTCTATAGTATTTTACTACGAGCAGGCTTTGTATTTATCAATAACCCATCAGCCTTGAGTTTCCTTTTCAAAATCCACTTGCACTCTAGTGGTTTGTAACCTTCGGGTAGGTCAGATAACACCCAAGTGTTATTATGCATTATTAAGTCTATTTCAGTATCTATTGCTTCCTTCCAGAAAAGACCATCAGGAGTAGATAGTGCTTCCTTGATCGCTGTTGGATCATTGTCCAACATATACGTAACGAAAGCCGTATCAAAGGTTTTCTCGACCCTTGTCCTTTTGCTACGCCTAGGTTCTGAAATCTATTGATCAGGGCTATTAGCCATTTATTTTTTGACACCCCGTAGTTCTTCATCTACGAGTTTTGGGTTGAACTAAATCTTTTCCTTCTAAGGGTAGATATTTTCAAAGAATATGACATTCTTATATTCTATCATAGTTCCCTCGGTCATCCCAAAGATTTCCAATTTGTGAACTATGAAACGATAAGTGCTATTATTTTATACATATTCGATAAATATGCAATCTACCGTTTTTGGGCCGATAGCAACTTGCTTTGGAGGTGGAACTTCCACTTTCACTAGGCACCCCCACACTTTGAAGTATTTGTATATGGGTTTCTTACATTTCTATAGTTCGTAAGGGGTAGCATCCTTACCCTTAAGTGGAATCTTGTTCAAGATATAATTTACAGTCAGCACCGCCTCCCCCCACAAGTTTTGGGGAAGTCCCAAACTTCTTAACAAGACATTCATTATTTCCTAAAGTGTTCGATTTTTGTGTTCCGCAATGTCGTTCGATTGAGGTGAATATGGAACCGTTGTCTGATGAATTATGTCATTTTTGTTACATAATTCTTTGAACGGGACCACATACTCGCCACCTCTATCACTTCGAACAGTCTTGATTTTATAGCCAAGTTGATTTTCTGCCTCGTTTTTTAAGTTCTTGAAGGCCTCAATTGTTTCACTCTTTTCCCTTAATAGGTAAAGATAACAAGATTTTGTGCAGTAATCGATAAAGGTGATGAAATATTTCTTTCCACCTTTAGTTTGCACAAATTTTAAGTCACATACATCAGTGTGAATTAATTATAATGGCTTAGACTTCCTTTCGATAGACAGGAAGGGTAATTTTGCCATTTTGGCCTCCATGCAAAATGGAATGAGTCCCCAATTCATTTTTGGCCTCCATGTCATTTTGCCATTTTGGCCTTCATGATAGCAACAAAGCTCCGAAATGCCTCCAGAATGGAGCGCTTCATGATCATCATGTACATTCTGTTTGACCGGTCCCACTTCTCAATTTTAGCCTTATTAGGCTCTGCCTCAGTAGCGATGGGTCGGTCGGACCGAAGGGCAAGATCCAAATCCATACAACCAAGAACAATTTCTACAATTTCCTTCAAGATCTTAAAGTTTGTTCCATTAAGCATTGTGATATTGTTAACTTGAGCAGAAATATTGGGAGAAGTAGCAACGGCCATTGTAAAGAGAACAATACAAATACTCATTAAATATTCATGACATAAATAAATCATGCATGAACAAATATGGAAAAAATAAATTAGAGACTCATTCCAAGACACCCGGTGTAACGTTAATCTCGTCGGAGGATATAAAATTAACTACAAAGGTAATCTTTGGTGCAACAATCAAGTATTGATAATAAATTCTGTCAAACATAAGTCTATCGAAGGACCGAAAATGTTCACATGAATAATATAAATAATTATAACATACTTATCATCACATGTGCGTTATTATTCGGCCAAACTACGTCTATCAGAGGGCTGATCACATAATGCATCAATAATTTCACACTACATTTATGTAATATCAATAAAGCCGATCTCCACACACGGAGGTTGCAGAGACAATTATGTTTCGATTGACAAAATTGATATATTACTAGATCAATTAAATAAATAAAAAAAAATATTATGACAATAAAGTGTCTCCCCAAATTTAAAATAAGATTAAATTGATATGATCGATGCTTTAAATCTCCGAATCATATATTTAAATATATACATAATTTATATTTTATATAAAAATTATATATATACATCATAAATTCAAGTAAATCATTAATATATATTTTAAAATTCCTTTGTTTTTAAAAAATATATATATACATACGCATATATATATATATATATGTATAAACCCATCAATTGTAGATAAATATTCTATAATAAAGTTCATTTTCTTTTACACACACAAAGATTGAATCATGCAACGATAATGTGCGATAAAATCAATTTTCAGAATATATATAAATTATAAATACTTATAATCGCATATAGATGACTCTGATAATGTGCGATAAAATCAATTTTATATATGATGCACTCGGCATATCTCAAATTCATATGTCATATAGCGATTTATATGATAAAACCACATAATTAACATACCTGGATCCATCAAATTCCTTGATGCGGAATTACGAACTCAAACGGTTGGTATTACGGCCTTCATCAACTAATCACTGAATGGACCCTTCGTAGTCTATTCTGTTGGGAAGAATAAAAACCAATGATTGATTTCGTATATTGGAGACCGTAACCAAATGGCCTTTATACAGTGATCAATAGGCCACTCATAATCACCTAATTGATACACTATCTGATAACTGCTCAATTTGTCTCATATTGATAAGGTAGTAATTGACTTGTTTTCACGTAATTTAAATCAATCAAATAAACAATTGATTATTTCTATAATTAAATCACGTAATCTAACTCAATCAAATAAATTATTAATTATTTCTATAATTAGATTACGTAATTTAAGTCAACCAAATAAATCAGGATAGCTAATATAATTGTACATTATTATCTACACATATTTAGATAAGAAAATATATATTTTTCTTAATATTTGTTTCTTTTAAAAAAATATTTTTTATACTATTCAGATTGCTTCTCAGTAAAATACTATTATATATATATTAAATTTATTTATATTACAAAATAATTGCCGTGCGGCGTAGCGCACGAGAGTCCTAGTATGTTTACATATATATGTATACAATGATCAAGAAGTATATGAAATTGGTCAACTCTTACAAGACCTCTTACTTTTGTATGATCAGCTCTTTCACACAAACTCATTCACCATCCATCCCTCTCTCTTTCTTTGCAACACATATCACATATATATATATATATATTTACCTAAATTTCCCCGCATTCTGAAATATAAAACTAAATTTTCTATTTCATTTTAAGAAAATATAAAAAAATAAAAAATTGCACGTTGTTATAGTCAAATATAAATTGTCTAAATATGTGTAAAACACTATGGATCTCTTAAATCAATGTGATAGTACAATACCATAATTCAAAGATATGAATATATATTGTAACAAAAGGCTTGAAGATAATACATATGTATACATAAGTAGATAGATCGATAGATAAATTGAAATGCATGTGGAAAAATAAGTGATTCAATCAATTTGTTCGATCATTATCGATATATGTGACTATGTATGTATAAAGATCAACTAACCTTTGCAGAAACAGTAAAATTCTTCAGTTGAGGAGAGATTTGTTATACTCTTAATGTTGCAAAGCAGCCATAGTAGCGTCTTGACGATCGGGTGGATACCTAACCTTGGAGCGCACGGGCAACCTCTTCTGCTCTAGTTTGAATGCCTTTAAGATACTCGGTAAGAATGCGCTGTTGATACGATCCGCCTTCCTGAAAGATTGGGGTGAGATGCTGCCACCATTCTCTTTTTTTCTTTAGAAAATATTGCTTATAAACTATCTATGATTTAAAAAGTCTGCACTATTCTGCTCGTGGTTTAGAAAATGTGCAACGTTTCATCATATTTTTAAAAAAATTGAATAAAAGCCCTCAAATGTCTCAACTTAATGGATTGTTGGAGGCTATTACTATTTGAGCACCAGAAGTAGAAAAATTTGTGCAATGTTTTTTAAAACAAGAGGAAGAGTTGCACGACTTTTAAATCATGAGAGGAAATAATGCATACTTTTCAAACCAAGTGTGGATTATAAGCAATTATGCCATCTTTTTAAAAGAAGGTAAATCATGTAATAAACCTTTGTATTTTATTGAAAATGCATAGGACACCTTGGCTCTGTTCACTTGGGCTCTATGTACATAAGTTATTTTGGAACTTTTGGAATCTTCTACCACAATAATATTTTTTTTCAAAAATATTACATTAAAATATATTTTTTTACAAAATATGACATTATATACTAACTTTGTACTATTTCAAACTTTTCAAAACTTCAAAACTCTATATCTAAACTTATCTATAAAAATATCTTATTGCCTCTAACAAAATGTCACATCCAAATGACATTCAAACCAACAATTAGAATTAAAATTAAAATTCATCAAGCATGCCCCTTATATCCCATTTATTAAGTAAAACGACCTAGAATGTTTTATACAACTTCATAAATAACGTTGACAACTTATTTCTGAAGTCTTATTTTAAGAAATTAGGTGAAATGTTTCTTACAACTTTATAAAAACCATCCACCTATTATTTGGATGATCTTGTATTACATATAAATAAATATTGTGAAATTTCTAATATAACAATGTATTATTAAAAAGAAGTAAAATAGATAATGTCATTGACTTATTTTCCTAATCTTGTCTAAAAATGTACGGTGCATGTTCATCTTCAAAAGTGACCTACATAATAAGTGTGTGATTCTAAATTGTCGTTAGTTTTTAGACAAAATGATATTTTACGCAGGCTTTATGCTAACATGGCTAACACAAACTAATTTTACGCAATAAATAAAATACAAGGTATTCTATGCGGTTCTGTTTAAACAAGGGTGTGTAATATAGTTGACCCTTAAATGAAAGAAAGAATCAAGTAAAGAGATACTCACAGTTCGAATTAATACCCGTTCAATTCGTTTCTTCACAACAGCATAGAGCTCGTCAGGTGAAACATCACCTTTGCCAATGGATAATCCATTTATTAAGAGGATATTCCATTCAGCTTCTGGAGCTGAAACATATACGAGAAGGAAATAGAGGTCACTCTGATATTCCTCAATAAGGTATCTCTATTTATCAATGTTCAGCGCAGTCATTTGCTTGATAAGTCTGTATATACAGAAAGAAAAGCCTTATGTATTAAATGACTGTCTAATGTATAATTTTACATGAAGTATCTTCTACTTAGTCATATTTAACTCCTCTAATACGCCCATCCTCATGTAGTAACAGATTTCTTCCAACCTTAAGGTTTAATTCCAACTTCCAATGGCTGCCCAGCTCTAGATTTAATGTAATATGACTGAACAAAAGACAATTTTTATTGTTGGCCACAGATTCTTGTGGTGCCACAATAATATATTCGTATTTTACAAATATTCTTGCCAGGTTATGTCTGTGACTAATGAGCTTGCAGAATTCAAGGCAGCAACATAGCAAGATGAGCAAGAAATGACAAAGAATTGATAAATGTCACTAATAGTGGTTTATTTCTTTTTGTGGTGTTTGTAAAAAGATAGATGATAAAAGGTAAATTTCTTATAAACCATCTATAATTTGGAAAGTCGTCATCATACTTCTTCATGATTTAAAAACCTCTTTGCACAAAACTTTCTAGAAATTGTGCGAGGCTTACTCGTATTTTCGAAAATATTGCACATAATCCCCTAAAATATTTTTTAAAATACAAAAGAATCCCGTGCAATTTTTAAATCCTTGGCGAGAATAGTGTAGATTTTACAAACTTATAAACAATTTTTCCAATGATAAATGAATAAATGTGATGCTAATGTGTACAATTTGAGAATTCCAAATGGAACTTCTGCACCTAAAAACATTTCAACACCAAGAATGGGGATAGTAGATGGAAATGTATGCCTTACTCCTAATCTAAAGGCGATTCCTTAATAATTTCCGTTCTTTAAAAAGAGAAGAATATGTAACAAAAATAAGTCCTGGTATTAAGACTAGTGTATGAATGGATGACAAAGTACCTTGAATTAAGGTCTCGAGAAAATGCTCATCCTTCAGTACCTCATTTCCTATCCAAAAGAACATCGGAGAATCAATGTCATTATCGTACACTCAAACAAATACCTATTTTTACAGTTAAATTACAACATCATATGAAAGATGGAAATAATACACACATCTCCGTACAATTTTACAATTAAAATGTAATACGGGATGCAAAAAGTCTACATGTGTTGAAACACCTTTTTTGGCATAACTACGTTTGGAAAGAACTCTAGAGGCATACAGTTGGAAAACCTTCTGTAACATTGCCTCAAGCCCCGGCTTATCACCATCTTCTTTAACCTGAAATTTTTAAGTGTGTTACTAATTAATTTTGCATTAAATACAAGTCGTGAGGTCATTATGCAAGTTCTAGGTTCAGTCAAATAATAATATTTACAAATCAACATTCTTGGTTTTCGTTTGCTAGCTTGATGACCAGACTTACATGGGGGCTTGGAGAGTTGGAGGGGCAATTGCCCCCAAAGCCCCCTAAAATGATTTTTTTAGTTTAAAAAAGAATATAGTTTATAAATATATTGTTTTGCCCACTCTAAATTTAACTTTATTATATATATTATGTTATTATTTTATATAAAATAGTTTTTTAATTATATATTACATAAATAAATAAATACTACGTCCGTCTGTCTACAAGAAATACATTTATATTTTGCGTCGTTAAAAATATTTATATTTATATAGTTTTTTATACAAATATCATTATATTAGTATTCTAAGATACTAATAAAAGTATTTTTGTCTTTTTTTCTTGATTTGTACTATATTTTGATATAATAATTAATATTCAAAAATCAACATACAAAAAGTATGATAGAAAGCAAAGTCGAAAAAGTATATGAAGTTAAGATTAAAGAGAAAGCGGAACCTCGGCCGATGCTTATGTATTGACGACGGGATGGGCTTAGGCCCACTGTTCGCGGTTTTAGATTTTTTACTTGTTTTTTTATTAATATATTATATTTTGAGTTAGCTTGACCTTTTCTTATTGGGTGGATTTTTATTTTTTTTATCTTTGGTGAGTAAAGTTTAGGTAATAGTATATGAGTAACTAGGGTTTGAGACTATTATTCTGGAATTTTAGAAATAAAATAGCCCCAGGCTTTGGGCAAACGGTTGGTACCGTTTAATTGTTTTTGGGCAAACAATTGATATTGTTTGATTTTTTTATCCTTTATTTTGTTTCTATCAAAGTAAATGTAACTTTTGCAAGTGGATGGGGGAATATAAGTTTTTACACTAAATATTTGAAAAGCGCCTCCTTGCATTATCTTCTAGCTTCTTTTTTTTTTTTTTTTTCATAACCCAATTGCACCAAAGAAAATTGAAGAAAATAAGCTAAATTGAAGTGGTATAAATGAGAACCTGACCGGCATTGCTTTTACAAAGTTCTAAATTTTCACGAATTTTTATTTATCCGCCGGTTTGAACAAAAAATCAATGATTTATGATTTGAAATATGTTAAAATCAAAACCGAACCATAAAAGATCAAAACCGGCTAGACAACTCTGCCCCCTAACTTCGGAAACTAGTACCATCACTGTTGATGACTACTTGAATATATGTGCAAACGATTTGGCAGAAATAAGTATCAACGAAACAGATAACTTACTTGCCGCAGCTGTGCATTAACTTCTGAAAGGAAGCCTTCATCAAGATGACCTTCTTGTTCTCTTTGGTTTAGTTCCTATAAGGGTTGAGCAAACCCATGGATAACGTAAAGGAACGGAGAGAAGAAAATTAACACATCAACAAGGCCAATATATGAGATATTTACATTTAGATTTTTTAAAATATAAGAGATGGAATTTGTGTGGATGCCATTCTTTGTTTATATATGTTAACAAATCACTTCTGGCACAATTCGTCAACGATTAAATTCCTAATTTTGGTTCAATTTTTTACTATTTCCAAAACACTTCCATAACAAATATATTAACCTAGCATACGCAAAAGAGCAAAAGCAAGATAATGCATAAAGGAGGAGCAGAATCTTCAGAAAAAAATATATATTATCAGTTTAAGAGAATAAAATGAGAATACTGATTTGATTATGTTCAGACAAAGGATAAATACTTTTTGCATGAGAGCAAGTGCCTCAGGATCTCTAGGAGGCCATGGAATTTCTTCTGTTTCATCAACAACAGGTTTCAGGATTGCTTTAAGCACATCAGTAGCTGAATCTATCTTTTCCTGAAAAATAAAAGGTTAATAACAAGTAAATTCGTAGTGGTGTTTTGTAAGTGCTTCATAAGATCATTCAAAGAATAATGCTTTGAGAGATAGAGTGTTTGTAAGTTAGTAGTAGTATGTTCAAAATACATTAGTTTTGTGGACCAGTCGATCCACCAAACTCATCAACAATGCCGCCAATTCTTCGTAATCTTTCTGAAAAATGATGAAGAAAAGAAACCTTTAATCAGAAAACAAAATTAAGAAAAAAAAAAAAAAACACACACACACACACAAAACATGCAGATTTGAGCGAATGAAGAAGCCCATACTTTGTCATCTTGAGATTTGCAGGTTTCCGTTCTAGTAGCCAGTCGTATCCAAAAGCCCTCATTGAATGCAAGAACATTCTCTGCCACTAATTGATGGAGCTGATTCAAAGAGAGGAAAGAAAACCAGCTGAAAAACTTTATATGAAAATTTTAAAAAAAAAAAAGACTGAGGTACATAAATCATAAATGAGATCAATTCTAGAGTAAACATACAAGAAAAACTATGAGAAAATTTCATTGTGCATTTTCGGAGAGAGTATGCAATAAGGGGGCTGTTAGAGTGCTGAATGATATTATTCAATACTATACTAAGACTACATCACATATACACTGGCCGTAAATAAAAACAAACAAGCAAGCAAATATTAATATAATAAAAATATAGCATAAAAATGACAATAGTACACACAACACATGTCACACGATGCAACATATGAATTGACAGCATATGATAAAATTCTACACAATTACTATTGATCTAACACAGCAATATATGTAGTATATAACTGACAGCACATACTAATGATAATAACCATGTGCCGTCATTACAATGTGTTGTCAACACCATAATCAGTCTGATGCAATAGATGAATACACTCTGACGCAAAAAGAAAGGTTACCAACACCGAATACAGTTATAACAGATAAATTCAATAACGATCAGTTGTCTCTGTTCCCAATTTCAAGAGATATCGGTCTGCTGGTGTATGAGATAAATGTCATTTGAAACAGTCACATGGCTATAGATTACAACAATCCAACTGAGAACGTCATTCAATCACAGCCAGCATATGAGAACCACATCAATTGTGTACACTTACAGTAAGATATTTCCACATTGAACGGTAGTGGATAGACCAAGACGACTTACTTCTCTATCATCTGCATCCCTCAGCATGTCTATGAGTCTATCCACTTCCACAGTCTTTTTGAAAGATTTTTCAGCATCACTATTGACTGCACAGATTAATGTCACCCTGTTTATAAATATTCAATCAATGAATGTCATCGTTAATACCTCCATCATCAACATCCTAATATACCAAAACATGTAAGTAAAGCAGTTAAACAAACCGAGCGAGATCAAACATATGTTGTTCGAGCTCAACTCAAACATGCTATATGTATAGGCTCTGACTTGGTCATTTAGGATTTAAGCTAAAATGTGGCACGAGCTCAGCCCACTAGGCTCGAGTTCAAGTTTGGCTTGAATTATATATATATAGATTAAATATATCCAATTTCATTTACAGATTATTATAATAAAATATTCAAATTTCATTAATAAATGCAAATTTTGATACAAAAATTACATATACTCTTTGCATCCAGAATCAATCTATCCATTTTGCCAAAATCGATCAATCCGTTTACTTTTTTTAGTAATTGTAATCTCAAAAAAAAAAAAATCTTACATCTTATTTATTATACAACGATGACATCAACATTATTTAACACGTTACATAATATTATCTCTATTGTACTCTGTATATACAAAATATTAATATTTGAAAATCCACATTTAAAATTAAATGGATAAATTGATACTCGATGGAGGGACTCTATTAATATATAAAATGATCCAAACAGATCACCATTACCAAGATCCATCAATGGAACTAGTTTACATAATTAATAATTCTCAAGCTCAACTCAGGACACATCTATCTTTACAGAGGAGTCAAGTTGAGCTCTTAACGAGCCAGTGGAGCTTTGCTGCTGAGCTACCCATTCCTTTAACAAAAAATATGCTACTTAGAAATAACAAATCTTCAAGTAGGATTTCCAACAATTTGATAACACAAATAAGAGTGTTGCTCGCATTCTCAAGATACGAAATTCCAGAACCAGAAATTACAATAGAGAAAATCCATCAAATCAAACAATACTAAACCAAAAGAATTAGCATATTCATTAACCTCTGCTTGCTTCCAAAAAAATTGAGTTTACTTGGCACAAGCTTCCCTTGTCTCCATCTTCCTCCATACATAAAGCCCTAGAACAACGCACCAAAGGATAATCATAGTAAATGCTCGCAGTTTGTAGAGAGTAACTAAAATCAATAGAGGGGGAAAAATAAAATAAAATCAATGAATTGATTAAATATACGAATTACCGGCAAGGACGTTGAATTTAAGAAACCCATACTAAGAGCTGCCATTTTCAGTGCTGATAATAAACGGGAATTTTTCGGAGATGAATACAAAGGAATTGGGCTTCAGCCCCAGCCTCTGATTTTGCTTTATCACCTCCTCCTCAGTAGATCTGCCCAATCAGTTTCGAACCGGCAGTGGAAACCGTTCTCCGGTTTCAAACCGGCAATTCCGGTTCAAATCGGAACCGCCATCGAACACGGTTCTGTTTCGCCTCTTTTTTCTCCAAATCCTAAATCGTCCGCGGTTCAGCAATTTTTCTAAAAAAAAAAAAATATATATATGAAAATAAAAATAAAAGTAAAAATAAAGGAAAGGAAAGAATGGAGACAATAATACTTCTTTCTTAAATTAAATAATACTTCCTGCTTTCTACTTGTGCAACATCTTATTCTGTACCAACGGATAGTATTAAAAAAATAAATTAGAGAAAATATATAAATTTTTTGTTTGATTGATACGATGAAATAAAATTTATTTCATTATTTAATATTTTCTTCGTATGGCTGTCTTATTTACCTTTTGGGTCATTGTATTTAACATTAACAATATCATTATATTTGTATAATTTGTCATTATAATAGTATTTAAAGACAGTAATAGAAGTATTTTTGCTTTTTTCTATTGATTTATACTATATTTTTATATAATAATTAATATTTAAAGATCAACACGCAAAACGTAAATAGAACCCTTAGAGCCGGACGGAGATAGTATCATATATATATATGGTTGCGGCTTTGCTGAAGAGTATTACAAACTAACAACACACGATATTACTATTGTCAACACAATATACTCTTAATATATACATGTGCTATTTTTATATGTTACATGTGCTAATTAACTATCCCCGTATATATATATAAATATATATATGAAGTTTAAACTACTATTTTTTCTAAATTTTTATTTTTTTTAATTTTTTATTGGTTAATATTAAAGTGAGGTCTCGATTGAGACTTACATTTTTAAAACGCGGAAGCCTTTCGACTAGAGGATTCAACCTTGAATTAACACTTTCAAGCTTCATTGTCAAAAATTGGAGCACCCCTCAAAATACACATTATTTGAATACAACATAAATGCTCGGACACCAATTTATCATTTAGAAATGAAAGCTATATCTTGACTTGGTGCTGCAATTACCGAATATAATTGATTTTTTCATAAAAAGAAAAAAAAGCGTTTTTCCGATAACTTAAAATAATCATACATAATCTTCATCCTCTATACTTCACTTCAAATATTAACGAATCTAAATAATACAAAACAACAATCGATATACATATCGACATGATCCAATTATAGTGAAGAGGTTTTTGCCAATTGACTCACCTTGATGTATCCTGAACCAAATCCTGAAGGATTTTCATCTTCTAATTTGATCTTGAATTAGACGGTAAAGATCTCATTTCCTAAGATTCTATTAGAATTGTTTTTTGCATTAAATTTAAGCATATTATTCGGATTTTGGCTCATATTCTTTCTCACTTTACTTAGACTTCAGGTTCATCATGTTGTAATGTGATGAAAAAAGGTTATTCCTCTATGAGACGATGTTGATGTGGAATGAGTTCTTAACTCGTGGGATTTCAAAGAAGCTAAAGAATTCTATTTGGACTGTAACATTGGTTCATGGATTTTTATTTTTTTATTTTTTGGTTCATGAATTCTTTATTATAGAGTACATGGTTTATCAGTATACTCTATGCATCATATATCAAGATTTCTTCTTTCCTTTTAACAAGGAGGACTCATGTGATGTTTGTTTTGATATTAAACATTTTATCTCGGGTCGTGACTTCAATTTAATCCTTACTGCTAGACGTTCCCGTCATTATGGAACTAGTAATTAAAAACATGTGATTATAATACTATTCGTCAATATTGCACGATAGACGTCCATTTCATTCTATTAATTGGTTATATATATAATTGTAGGTATATTTTGAACATCTTTTGTTCTATTTCCTATGTGGCCTCTTCTGCTCAATGCCGGAACCACATTACTTTCATATACGAATATCTCAGTTCCTCATGGTTCGGACCTTTGTATCCATAATCCAAAGAGGTATTTTGTCATACGAAAGATCCTTATTTAGCTCTAACTCATCGGAGATAAAATATGAGAAGGATCTGCGACATACATAATCCGCCCAAGTAAAATATGCAAATCAAGTTATTAATTAAAAAAAAAAACAATAGAATTACTTATCATTTATATATATATATATTCTTCTTCTTTTATGTATTGTAACAAATAACACATTATAATATATACAAAATATGTATAAATATATGTAATAAAAATAAAACTTATTTTTTACATTTAATTTTAGTTTACCAAAATATTACATAATTATTTGTTTCAATTTTATATTGAAGATATTTAAATAACTAAATTATCAATTTAAAAAATATAAAATTATTAATCGATAATTATATAATATTGATTCAAAATAGTAAAAATTACAAAAATATATCATATAATTATATTTATTACGACCGTTATATTTCTATTTTCTATATATATATTTCACAAATAACAAACTATATTTTATAAAATGTAACATAAAATAGAATAATGTCAAATTATTGAAATAAAAGAACTAAAATAAAAAAATTAATTTAAATTGAATATATCACTAAAATTTATATTCAATTAATAAATATATAAATTTAATTTGAAATAATATATAATTAATTAATATATTAAATAAAATATTTGAATGATAAAAGTATACAAGGTATAATTAAAAAAAAAAAAAAGAGAAATAAATAAAATAAAACCATCTTCATCAAATAAATATTGTTTATATTCTTATTTTAAAATAAAAAAAAAAATTATATTAAATAAGAAAAAAATTAATTTCTTTTAAAAAATAATATATAGAAAATAATTAATATTATTAATGTGACTAAATATTTTTATTTTTATATATATTGTTGTTTATTAATATTAAAAATTAAAATGATTAGTTATAATTAATACTAAAAATAAAAAAAATTTTAATTATAATTTTTTAGAGCAGTAAAAAATCAAAATATACCAAAAATAAAAATAAAATAAAAATTTAAAAAACATATAGAACAATGTTATATTATTCAATATCAGATGAATATTATATTTATAGTTTACCTTCTCCTTCTATAGATATGATTTACTTGCAAAATAAATAGAATAAAATATATCGGTAAAATATATAAAAAATTAAATAAATATTATGTGTTACCTTTTTCTTCTTCAAGATCGTGATTTATAGCAAATAAATTAGAAAAATATGTGCAAAATATATTAAAAATAAAATTTATTCAGAATTGATTAACCAAATCTAAAAATAAAAGCAATTTTTTTTTTTCCAGAAAGATCGCATTTGAAAATAAATGTCGTACAGATAGAAAAAAAGTCACCAAATCATTGCCGAGCTTTTGTCGGACTTTCAATATACCTTTTCGAAAATCCAACGCCGGAGACTAATCGCCGATATTTTGATTTTGCTAAATTGTTGAGAAAATACGCATTCGTATTACTGTATTTTGCAAAGTATGATACACAAACTGAATTAAAAAACTAAATTAAGGAACTACTCACTATCCCATTCTTTAAAAAAAAAAAAATGTAATTGAGTAATTGGAAATTATATCTTATATATTTTTGAAAAAATTCTATTAAAAAATATTTAAAAATCCCAAAAAAAAAAGAGATTGCAGAAATTAGAAGGGTGGGACCACACCTTTTGCTATAGTTAGAGCCGTCAAAATTGGTTGAGCCTGTCGGATTAGCCCGCCCCGCCTTACTTTTAAGGAGGGTTGGATTGTGATTTTTTAAGCCCGTTAAAATGTGGGCCTAAATGGGCCAACCCGCATGGGCCGCGGGTTACGGTAGGTTAGCTCACAGTGGGGTAGGTTAGCCCGCGGGTCAAGTAAATATAATAATTAGTACTCACTCGTCTAACTAAAGGTATTTTTTTACCATTTTTTACTGTCATAATAAAACTAATCAAATATTAATATAAAAATATTTTTAATTTTTTATAAATTACAAACATACCATTATAAATAAGTTAAGACGAATAAAATAAAATATATTATCATTAGCTTAATTAAATTATCAATATTGTCTACACGTTGTTTTTCTTTTCTAACTATGTTATTCATGACATTGTTATTTGTTTCGATTTTTCATCATTTGTTTTGTTCGTCTTCCATTTTATTATTTAATAATTTTACAAATTCATAAAATTAATTATGATTTATTTTTAAAATGAAGTATTTCTTGTTATTAATTTTTGTAAAAACACCAATTAATAATATTTAGAATTGAGAATTTTTATATTTGTTATTTATTTTAGGTAAAATTGCTTATAACTCTCCCGTGGTTTCGAAATTCAGCGTAAAATCTCTCTGTACTTTAAAAATTGCATGGTACCCCCTTATACTTTAAAAAACATTGCATGAAACCCCACCACCATGAAACTTTCCTCGTGTGATAAGAAGATGATTTCCTATCTATATGTTTTGCACAGCAGGGGGTTTTATGCAATATTTTTGAAAGTATAAGTGAACGTCATTCAATTTTTTAAAGTAAAATAGAGATTTATGCTGAGTTTCGAAACCACAAAGTGGTTTCATGCAACATTTTTTAATGTACAAGGGGACGTCATGCAATTTTTAAAGTAGAGAGGGAATTTACGCTGAGTTTCGAAACCACAAGGGAGTTATTGACAATTTTGCCTTTATTTTAAAATATTTATTATTTAAATTCTACGATAAAACTATTTTTAGCTATTTTTAAATATTAATTACAAAAATATTTATAATATTAATATTATTTTAATATTTTTAAAAAGCTCGTGGGCTAGCCCGCTTAACTCGCCATCCGCCGATGGGTTGGGTTGAGCTGATGAAATTTTGATCCGCCCCGCTGCGGATTGGTCCGCAAACAACCCGCTTATTTGCGGGTTATGGTGGGTTGTGGGCCAATCCGCCCCATTAACCCGTTTTGACAGGTCTAGCTATAGTTATATATATAGGATACGATAAAATATGATATAATAGGATATAGGATAGGATATATAGGATATATTTTTGGTGGGATCCACCC